TCTAAACACACAAAACACACACACACACACACACATACACACACACACACACACACACACACACACACACATATACACACACAATCAAGGGCCTATGTGTGGCAGGCCCTTACACAGTATGTTTTGGAATATATATAATATATATATATATGATGCATAGGAGATATAGCGCTAAATCCATCATCGGAACCTATTTTCTATGCCGTTTGATGGTGTTATTTTTGCGTGTGTGTGTGGTTTTTTTCTTTATTTTGACATTATGTAATTAAATGTGTGCACACACACACACACACACACACACACACACACACACAGCAAAGTGCCACAGCTTCACACCAGCCAAAGAGACATTTGTTTGTCTGAATGTTCCAGTGTGAGCAGTTTGTGCACAAGCATGTGTCCGTGTGTGCGCACATATCTGAGGTTTATAAATGGGCGGGGAGTTGCTTATCGACTTAAAAAATAAAATCGATTTGGAAATGTACATATTTTATTTTATTTTTTTTTTTAATTGATGATTTGTATTTTTATCCTGGTTAATTTTGTGCAGCGGCATGTAGTTGTTTTGTTTTTTGTTTTGTTTTTTTAACGTAGTGGTTTTTGTATGTACATGAAATTGATTTGGATAAAGAAAAAGAATTATTTACATGTCAGTGTAAATTAATTTAATGTACCATCATTTGCTGGTATATACTGTCACGCTGTTGGGAGTTTTCACTACAAGATGGAGAAAGAAAGCTGGATGTTTTTTGGACGTTTTTTTTCCCTTTTGTGATATTTGCAGGACTGTCCTTCAGACTCTGGGTAGCTGGGTCACAAAGTACATCATCATTTTTCATTTACTCTCCACATCCTTTTTTTTGAGGGAGGGTGGGGCTGGGAAATTTTCCATTAGGTATTACATCAGTTTCACATGTGAGGTTTCCAAATGAAGCCGAACCTGGCACTTCCAGTGCAGAAGTTATTTAAACTATGACAATCCAGTGGAAACAAATTTCCTTTGTCACAAATCTGTATTTTTTTTTTTTAATTATTTTTACTTTTTGTGTTCACGCCTAGAGACAAAGGAATATTTAGTGACATTAGATGGAGATTGTTCACTTATTTTTTTAATGCCACCATATTTGAAAGACTGACTCGTCAAAGCAGAGTGCCGATTAGCATCTGTTAACTGTAATGATGCTAATAAAGCCGCATCAAGGCACCGGGCACCAAAGTCTGGTTTTAACAAGAGCAGGTAATCGCACTGTACAGACGTTGCATTGCTCTTCAGCACACAATCACAGCACTGTTGCTCAAGTGATGACTAGAATTATTTTTCTAAGAATGAGGATCTCTTAATTTGGCAAAGTGACTTCAGGTGCTTTATGTTATACTCCCTTCAGCTAGAAGTGTAAGACCCTGTTTGACTGCAATCTCAGTATGTACCTCAACAATCATTAAGAATGAGAGTCATTAGACTGAGAGCCTTCTTTCTGCACCATAGTGCCTCTCCTCTTCCATGGCTGATTTTAAAAAAAAAAAAAAGTGAATGCACAGCAAAAAGGGAGCTTTACTTATTTCCAACCTCACATGACTTTGGACCTGTCATACAATCCATTGTGCCCCAAGAGTGAGATTTTTCACTCATTTCTGCAGAATTAGTTGGACAACTGAGCATGGCAGACTTGAAGCCAAAGAGAATTTGACAGAGGCTAAAGTTCCCATGCCCACTTGTGTTCAGCTATTCGCTGGCAAGCGAGGTCATTTTCACACCCGATGGTTTCTCTGCTCTAGTCATGTCGTCCTACAGGGCTGTTTGCATAGGAAAATTACATGTTGCGGGCATTCAGTTCTCACATTGGAAATCTTACTTTGAAAGGGGATTACTGAATAGAATTTGTGGTTTGAAAGAAAATGGTTATTTTGTGTGTTTTTGTTTCACTGTACAGAACTTTTGTAATAAAACAAGATGAAACACAACGAACTGTTCAAAGAATGACCACATCTCCTGCTGAAGAACTTTGTTGTTTTTTTTAATTGGGACGGAGAATGTCAAAACCATATTGTCCTGAATGAAACCTTTTGTGTGTGTATAAGAGCAGTGATGAAGACAGCTGATGAGGAATAAATCAACCGATGCCTCTGAGTGCGCACAATACTGCAGTGATTGCTTCTCGGTATTCTGAAGCATTGGGAGGCGCGAGCGTGCGCCTTTTCCTGTTTAAATTAGCCATCGCACAATCACAGAATGAAACCCCAATGAGATGGAAGTAGGACACTCTTCCTATTTAAGAGATGAGCAGTGATCAACATGATACAGTGATTGGTCTAAGATGACAAGACATGAAATTAACTGGCATCAGAGTTTTGACTACACAGAGTCCTGTATATCTTCACAAACCAAAACAAGCCCACATAACATAAGAGAAGCATAGTAAGATTACAACAGACTGCAAAGAAGCAGAAACCCCCTTCCACACTGATTCCAGGAGCCCTCAGAAATCCACAGTGTGAAGTAAGGCGTCTTATTTCCAAAGACCAAAGTGCTGACAGCAGAGAAATCGTCACAGATGGCTGGACTGCCTTTAAAAAATAATGTAGAAGCATGCATTTACACCAGGTAGTATATCTATTGCTATTGTACACTTACAATATACAACTATACAGAAAAGGTTGGAAACACAGTTGATTTAAACAAAAAAAAAAGTGAACAATTGACAGGTTCAAAAACAAAAGTTTAAAATTAAAATAGAAATGTTACTCTCCTGACATCCTCGACTTTTCTTTTTTTGGTTCACGCAACAAAATATTTAAAAGAAAGAGAAAAAAAGCTTCTTGATGTGTAAATATATATTAAAAACATTGATGAAGACGATGTGCAAATTTGATTCATTGCAAGCAATTGCATAATGTAGCTTAAGTGATGGTTTCGAGGTGGGGCCAGGAGGAAATGGGTGCAAAAACAAAGGATCAAGACCAGCGAGTCATGGCTTCAATGAATGATTCTCCACAGCAAAGTTACGCAACTAAATCAAACTCAGTGCTCAAAGACCATCCCATAGAACGGAAACATTCACACTGGGAACACACAAGCAACAAAAGTTACATTAAGTAGCATATTGATACAGACTAATTCAAATCCTTTTTGTAATTCATAACTGATCTGTGAGCCGAGACGCTTAATTTCACGTCCCGAGAGATCCGCACAACATACGAGCACATAATCCGCCCCAACAATACACAGCACCGAGTACATTTCCTTGCCATTCAAGATTTGGATATAAAAGTAACACTGCAAGTAAACGCAACACATTGTAGGAAGTCATGATAACCTTTGAAGGAGCTCAGAGCTCCTACAACTACTCCAACAGTTTCCTAACTGAAAACAGGACTCCTTTTAAAGGGTTTCCTCCAATCTAATTTACCGTGGTTCTTGGGAATCATTGGACAAAAAAAAGGAAAAGTTGAAATCCAAATGTGGTTCAACTGTTTACAACTTGTAGATGCAAACAACCCAAAATAAAGTTTTAAATGTAATAAGCCAACAAAAGGAAGAAAAACATTGTGTTGCATGCCCCAAGTCCTATTTAAGACTGATAAATAAAATCAATAGAGTTGGTTTCGCCACGTTTTCCCTTGAATGGATCAAATAAATTAATCGATAATTATAGAGAAAGCGTGCAAACACAAATAAAAGAAGCATGTCTTAAAATATATCAAACACTGGTGTATGAAAATTCCAACACTGGATACGCAGTCTGCACAAAGACGTCTCGACAAACCAATGAACTTATAATGTAACAAGTGCAATGAAGGTCCATGTGCAAATTGGCAGAATTTGCAAATTCACCATTTTCATTTAACAAAAAGCGACGGATGGTGATATCTTTGGATGACGGTGATTACAGATGAGCTTTCAGAGCGAAGCACTTACAAACAGGAAAGAAAATGAACACTAAAGAGGATCCTCTCAGTCAGTCATTACACAGACTGTTTACATTAGTTAAAAAAAAGGCAACCTGAAAGCAGACAAATAAATACGATGACTTGGCATTTAAAACACGAGCGCAGCATCTTCAAACACTACAGCTCTTTAGATGTAACTACAGGTACATATACGCACATGATGATTCTGCTTGTCTTCAAACAGACAACGATGTGAGGGGTAAAGATTAAAAAAATGTTTCAAAAGGAAACAGTTTTCTTTAACTGAAAGGTGTGAGTCCACACTAAGGCAATGACATTTACAGATGGGTGGTAATGGGACAGAAAATAAATACACAAACATCTTTCGTCCTTGATGTAGTAAATTACAGGGCTGTCATCTTTTGGCAGGTGAAAAACAAAGATGGAAGGATGGGGCTGTGAGAAAATTTGCAGAGGCTCAAAAGAGTCCAGTGAACATTTCTCTGCACCCCAACCTCTCTCCTCCTCTTATTCCTCTGCTGGCTGGACAGTGTCTGTCTGTGCTCAAAAACAAGACTGAGACAGTTTTATAGTGAAGCCCGAGAGGTCAGAGGAAGGGGAGTGATGACACCCGTCGGTGTGGGCTTTAACAGTCTGACAGAGATGAACAGTTAGTGGTAATATTTTGCCGACCCTGTGCCACCGGTACTACGGCACCTCCAATAGCCCAGTTCCATCCTGACCTGTCTGCCCGGTTGAGGCAGATGGACGAACAGCAGGACGATTACGGTGAGGACGAGGCAGCTGCGTGGTATTTGACGAAGGCGATGGCTGCCAACTCTTTGCAGAACTCCTCCAGCACAATCACCCCCTCCAGCAAGGTCATGTGGTCGATACTAAAGGGAGGGCAAACAGAAAGGTGAGAATATCCCCTGAAAGTCACCTCAGAACATACGACCCAGAATCATGTGGAAGTACGTACGTGATGCCCTCTGGCTCCATGCCTAATAATCTCTTCCTCACAAGCAAAAGTTTGGGTGTGAAGTCTGGGATACGGTGAATCCTCAACATGAGATCTCCAA